TAATTGTTCTCGGAGCCAAACTGAGCGGAAGAAATGTCGGTGGTGCTGGATTCCTCGTCCACCATCGGCTCGAGCAATGGTAGATTCAGTCGAAGTGATCGGCCCGCGACTGGCCATCCTACGTCTACGCATCGACAAGCGCACTTTCGTTAGTATTATCAACTGCTATGGCACCGACGTCAACAGCTACAGACGAAAGCAGAGAAACGCGTTCTACAAGGAATTGGAGGAGATTATAAAAAGGAGACGGTCCTACTACAAATATGTTGTCGGAGACTTTAATGCAGTCATCCATGAGGAAATGCCAGCGACAGCGCGCACTGGGCCACAAGGAACCGGAGAAACAAACGAGAACGGCGAAATGTTTGATTGACTATTAGAGGAATGCAAATGCTCTTTCACGGAGACTAGCTTGCTCACGAAAAAAGGACGTGGGAGAGCCCGAATGCCACCTCACAGCGAAATCGACCACGTTCTCACTAACAGGAAGTGGAGTCTGCTCGACGTCAGCGTGGTGGATGCATTCCGCACTGGGAGCGACCATAGGCTGGTTCAGAGCAAAAGTTCGTCTCCGAGCGAGAATCCGAAGACGCGACTTCTTCCGACCTCCTCCCATACGGCTGCCAACATTACCAAAGCAAACGTCGTGGAGGTGCAGCCGCGCTCCACTACATGTGGCAGGAGGCGCAAAGACTTGTCGCAAGACTATACCATGCTCATAGAAGACTTCTACATTGCGCTGTGGCATCGGCTATCACAACAAGGACGATTCAAAGGGCAAGGAATGCAACACCGGCTCGCGCAATCTTACTGCATGCAAACGCGCTGTCCATCGCCTGGCACAACCCCGGAGGCGCGCCCTGATCAGGGCAAAGTGCGTTGCCGCATCGCAGTGAAGGAGTCGATTCAGCGTTACAAGAATACTCGACTGAAGGAAGCGGCGGAAGCGAGAGCGAGTCTCAAACGATGTCGTCGAGACATCAACGACTCTCGCTCGGTCACCACGGTTATGCGAGACGCGATGGGCAGACCGCAGACATCGGAGAAGCCAATTTCTAACACTGGATCTCTACCCGATCAACATGCCAGTTCACCCTCATACGTACATTACGCCAGACGCCGCTCGCACAGCTAGAAGAGGGCGAGAGGTGGGATCACGCCTTGCGTCAAATGAAGCCGGGGAAGGCACCAGGACCTGACCGCATCTCAGTAGACTTTCTGAAGTCGGCGTCCCGCACCGTCATAAAACAGCTCACCAGGCGCTATAACAGGTACATGGACGCAAGAGATCCCGGACCAGTGGAAGACGTCAAGCACGGTTCTTCTGTTCAAGAAGGGCGAGCGCGACCTAATGAAGAACTACCGCCCCATCGCCCTCCTCTCGCAGCCATACAAGTTGTTCACGAAGGTAATCCTCAACAGGCTCAGGCCGGGTTTCGCAAGGGCTTCTGTTGCATGGATCACATCCATACTGTCACGCAGTTGATTGAGCGAACCAAGTAATACAAGCAACCGCTCCTCCTGTGCTTCATCGACTATACGAAAGCATTCGACAGTGTGAAACTGAACTCTATTTGGAATTGCGCTAACAACCATGCCTGGTGTCGACACCCGTGGCTACATAAGCCTGTTGGAAAATGCACACATGACATACTCTACTACGCATCCGCGTTTTCAACAAGAGCTACGAGTGCGATCGAAAAAGAAGTCAGACAAGGTGATACGATCTTCAAGCTGTTCACCACCGCACTCAACCACGCGATGCTGCAACTCGACTGGGACGATAAAGGCGTCAACTTCGACGGAAAGAAGCTATCTAACCTACGATTCGCAGACGACATTGTCTTTATCAGTCAAAACTCAGCAGAACTACAGAGCGGATGGTGGAGGAACTGAACAACGTCGGCAAAGCTATTGGCCTCACGATGGACGCCGAAGGCAGTGACGAGGTCATTGCGCAAACGAGTAGGCAGTGCGTCACCTTTATACTCGATGGTGCAGCTCTACCGGATACCGACCGTTACGTTTACCTTGGTCGACTCATTTCTATGGACAACAATTTGCAATTATGAGACGCAAAAAATGCGCATGGACGGCAATGGGACGCATAAGAGAGGCGGCCCAGCTCATTTCGGACAGGAAAATACGAGCTGCTCTATTCGACTCTACAGTACTGCCTGCACTTTGTTACGCATCCGGCGTTTCCAGGATCTGTGAGCAGAGAACAAGGCGTCCACGCTGATGTTGACACGTGCCCCACGAGCATTGGAACGGACCCTGCTGAATATCAACCGCCGTGAGCAGATATTTCGCAATTCTGCGCAGTACAGGACTTGCGCTCAGGCTCCACACGCCGTAGTATATCGCGTGGAATGTCAAAGAAGGATGGCCGGACAGTGTGGTCAGACGTACGGACGATCGGTGGACCACTCGCATCACACTCTGGTATCCGAGAGACGCGAAGCGCAAGGCTGGCCGCCCTGCAACCCGTTGGAGAGACTCCTTGAAGCAACTCCAAGAAGCTGCAGACCAACACTGGGTCCAAACCGCGCTCAAGGATTCGGCAGGCTATGGTGCTCGTCGCTGAAGAGAACCGGCTGAAAACGAGCGTCCAAGTATGAAAGTAAGTCGTGTGAAAAAAGTGAAAATGAGATAGGTGTGCGTACTTCTGATTGCAGGTGGTGGGCGGGTTTTGCTTTTGGTGGATATTGCCGTTTTGGGGCACTTGTTTATAGATGGTCGTCGACTAGCATAAGGACAAAATGCACAGCTTTCTCAATGGGAAAGATCTGCCACAAAATACGTCGCACACGCCATGTTCAATAAAAATTGCAGCCACGTTCTCCCCATTCCCGGGATACGAAGTGTGCGTAGTAGTACTACTTGTATAGAACACACCATAACCAACTGTTGTGTAAACATTCATTGAATAGAAGAAACTGCTTCCAAATGTCCATTTCCAGTGATCGGGCTCATCAGTTTTGTAATATGTAGACCATCTGAATAGTCCTTCAGTTTTCAGCATAGCAACATAATCTTCCTAAAAGAGTCACTTTAACTATGTTCTCAGAGAAATTCCGAGATGATTTTTTTCCGAGAGTTGCTATGTCATCTGAAACCCAAGCTGAAGCTTTTCAATTTCCAAAATTCGGTTCAAATTTCATGAAGTCCCAGTTGAGTACTACCTTGAGTGCAGCCGTTTTCTCTGATAGAGTCAGTGTTGAGTTGCTATTTTTATATCGCCTAACAATATCCATAATTCTATTGTCCAACTCCGCTTTTCTAGCCGGAACGGCCTGAAACAAAGAAATCCGAAGAGGCTGTGCTTTTCATAAACCAATAAAAATGCTCGAAGCAAGCTGAAAATAAAAAAAGCAGTTCAAATGAAGTCTCTCACAGGAGAGATGGACGTATCCCTCCTAATTGGGTTATCATGCATTAACTCTATTCCCTGCCTCAAGCAAACATACATTATCAGGTGGTATTGAAGGCTTACGTTACCTTGACAAGCAGGAACTAGATGGTATTTTCTAGCAAAGAGGTCCGCTGTTCCGTAGCACTTCATTGTCACGTGGTTAATCTTTGGCGATCGCGCTAAGTCGAAAACACTTCCGCGACCCGATTCCTTGCGTTAGTGGGTGCTCCAAGTCGTGAACGCGGTGGCCCATAAGCAACTCCAATAAGAAAAAAGCAAAAAGACCCAGGGAACTTTTCTGAACAGACACCTCCTTAGCAGTGGGGGCCTTAGTCGAGTTTGTCGGGCGTCGGCAAGCTCAATCAGCAGGACTCGACGTGCAACCAATTCTCGGCAAGAGCACAGGAAATCACCTACGACGCTCCACGCAACGCTATGTACACGCGCGATTCCGCTTGTAAGGCGTTGTCTTGCACAGTGAAAGTAATCGTGGTTGCAATGGTTGGCAATAATCACGCGTCTCTAGCTTCTTTAATCTGCCGGTTTTTGAGTGAGAAAGCGGTATAGATCTCTGCGTAATGCAGCAACGATTTACGCATGGAGGCATTTGTGGACCACTTGATCGCCGAGGGTGTCGTCTAAAAACTTGTGATGGGCAAGCATCTCATTTAAGTACACTCTATGTTGCTATTCTGGGGTGGGTTCCAGAAAGTTAAGGTTGAAACTGAGCAAAACGAAAATGAAAATAGTTTTAAGTATTTTTTCTACATTTGGTTACTATTCAGCCAAGCTAGAACGCATCTCCAAAAAAGCAGCCAGGAGTCCGTAACCTGGAGGCATAACTAGTGAAATATACTGTTCAAGAAGTCACTACCTCCGCTTCCCCGTTCCTCTCAAAATAGTAAATAATATATCCGCCGATTAAGGAATAAAATGTTATTATAGACAGCAGAAACAGATGTCGTAGACCGACGTGCCTGTCGATAAACAAGAGAATGTGTGCCAAATAATGCGAGACTGAAATTGTGGTAGATTTTCACTGTTTCCTGACCGTGTATACGTGACCGAGTGAGAACCACTCACCTCCTTTGGACGTCGCTGAGTTGCCTGAAATGAAAATGCTGTAGGGGGCACATCGACAGAAATATTAGGTTGTCCGGAAAGTTCTCAGCGTTTTGGGTGTTTCACTTTAAACGATCGTAACTTTTTTAATACTCATCGGATTTAATCGAAATAGGCACCATTCGAATCAGCACACTTTTGCCAATGTGACAGCAGTCGAGAAATCCCATCAAAGTAAAAAACTGGGTGGTCGAAATTCACGAAATCCACGAAGGCTTTTTTGCCTGGTCCTGTTTGATGAAGTATTTCCCAGCAAGGAAGTTCTGAAAATGTTTGAAAAGGGAATATTCGGTTGGTGGAAGGTCTGGAGAATATGGCGGTTGAGGTAGAACTTCAACCCCCAATTCGTTCAATTTATGGATAGTGATTTGTGAAACGTGTGGGCGGGCGTTGTCATGCAAAGGAAATCGACCCTTTCTTTTGATAAGTGTTGGCTGCATCTGACAAAATTTTCGGTACAATTCGTCGATTTCTTCACAGTAGGGTTCTGCTGTGATGGTTTGGCTGTGATAAAAAGTATAGTGGATCACTAGCCAAGCCGTACGCACCTATAAGCCGTGACCAGAATCTTTTTTCGTGAAGGGTTCGGCTTTAAATTACCCTCGTGGTTCATCGAATGCTAACGCCGTCCAGGAACGTCCCTGTTATTCCATATATCATATACATGACCCATTTTTCATCACAGGTGACAATTCGGCCCAAAAACAGGTCGTTTCTGCTGCGCAAAAGCAATGCAGAAGGAACCTCGAGACGTGCCGATTCCTGCCGGTCACTCCGATTGTGGGGCACCCAATTGTCGAGTTTTTTCACCTTCCCAATGCGTTCCAGAAAATCCCCCTAAAATCCTCGTCAGATATTGCTTTAGGTCGACCGCTATGAGGTTCATCTTCAAGGCTGAAATCTCCAGAATGAAATTTGTTGAACCATTGCCGCACAGTGCTTTCTCTAGCACTATTGGCCCCCCACCTGGTCAATTTGTTGAGCTGTTTCGATTGGATTGCCCCAGTTTGTAGTCGGAAAAAAAATCTTGAAAAAAAAGGGAGTTTAATCGAGCAAGGTGAAACGGCAATTACACCATCAGATAGCGCAAAAAATTCTCTACAGGATGTGCTACTGAGAAGCAAGGCAGAATGAGTTTTTTGATCAGCAGTGAATATACAAAAAATAGTGCGCAAATAACGCTTGAGACTTTTCCGGACAACCAAATAGGAAGGCGGGCAAGAGGATCGTGAATTGCCGCTCAGTCGCGCGCGACAAGTGGGACGCGACGTTTCCTCTTTTCCGTTTCCTCTTTGCAATACCCTTTCGGTTGGAACATCGGATTACATTAGACAAGGACATGGTGGACTCTAATGTCTATTTTTGATCATACATCATCTATTCTCGACCAATACCACCTAAAATTGTCGTCATTAGCGGGCGCGACTTCGCACGCGACGCCCACTGGCGCGGCGAATTACGGTTCTCTTGCCACAGCCCATAAAAAGAGCTATGATTTCCTAATCACGGTTTTATTCGGCTGACATTGATGATGTGCAGTGAAAATGGTGACGAGAATACAGGTTGGGTAAAACTGCTGTGCACTCATTCTTTTGGTGGGCATGTCAAAATCACCTTTCAGAAATTCTAATCAATTTAGAAGTATAAAATGGTAAAAAAGTAATAGTCGTAAGGAAGCGACAATCCAAAAAATGCTGGCAGCTTCTAAAATAGTAGCATTACGCCTGCTTACCGCACTTCCGCAGATCGAGGATTCCAAAAGGTGCCGATTCAAGAGAAATCAAAGCTGGATATAGAAAAAGCAGGTTTTGCTCTCCGAGATGGCCAGCACAGAAAAATGCATCGGGAGAAAATCTACACAAGTGGTGGCCCATTGATCGTTTTGATGAGGTCAGATAGTGCTTTGTATCCACTCCATCACTTCTTCTATATTATGTACTTGAGCAGGATCGTGCTAAAATCGTCTGTGGGGAAAAGGCCAAGTCTAAAATTAGGATTGGCCCGTGGTTTGTGGACGTGCTCCAAAAAGTTGTTGGAAGCTTCCGCGACAATTTCAATGGCGGCTTTTACGGTGAAAAAATTGAGCTTCTCCTCCCGTTTAGGTTTACTGTCAAGCCAGATATAAAGGCAAAGCAGCACGATAAATCTCCCAAGAGCGGGCCCAGCAGGCCAGAGTTCAGCGCCCTCGAGCAGGCGCTGCGTGGCGCCTTTTCTGAGGAAGGTACCCCTATAACGCCACATCGAGCTGCCCCATAGCGATCCGTACCCCCACCGCGCCTGCCCGCCCACAAATGGACGACTGATGTTGTGTTCGCATGGCTTCATTTATCTATATCATCTATTGGCACGATGCCAACGGGAAACTCGTCCGACATTGCTTCGAGTCTGTGAAACAAAATCTTTTTCTGCAGGTTTTTGACCGTTTCGCTTCACTTTTCCGCCTGTAATTTTCCCCACTATAAGACACCCTGCTACCATTTCAGTACCAAATCATCGTGCTCTGTGCCTTCAAGGATTATGCATGATATGATTTTTCATTTGGCCTTTTTTTGTGGGCGTAATCAGACAGTGTCTCTCTAATGGTCCTCTCATTTCGAAAGCTGACGATGTCTTCTGAAGTGAAAAACTTTTGAGTGATTACTTCAACTAGCCAGCTGAAAACAATGCCTTGAGCTTTCACGTTGACGACGAGCCGTTTTTTATGAATTGCCCATGGGACGGCACATTTTTCTTCCGTAGAAACTTAGTAATTTTTGGATAAATGAATGGCTACGGTCAAAGTGTTTCAAGAAATGCAAAAGGTGAGAATACGAATCTCGATCTTCGACACAATTTAGCTTTTATTGCTTCAGTCTTCCGAAATCAGTCCAGTTTTACCAAGTTTTCCTCTGGAAGCAAATTTGGCTGAAAATTTGTCTGTCGGGGTAGTTTGACCTTCTGAAGACGGATATTACATCCCCTTGGCCCAAAACTGCTTGGCGCGCGCAATAGGCGCTACGTTGACGACAGTTTTTGCCCTGCCCCTTTACTCTTCGTTGAAACGGTGCAACCAACGCAGAGGACGCATGCCTGATCGGCGCCGGCGCCAGGCGGTTTTGTGGCAAGCGATTGTGATATTCGTGTTCACGGCGTCAAACTACCCCAGGAGCCAAGTTTTCAACTAATTTGGTGATTTACGGTATTTTGGCGCCGGCGCCTGTGGCGCGGGCGCCAGGTAGTTCGCGCCAAGCAGCTGTGGTATTCATTTCAGAGGGACAAGCTACCCCCCAGGGACACGTTTACGACAAACTTGGCTGTTCGTCCATCTTTATTCTTAGAAAATATACTGGCAGACACCATTGTCTGCCATCGTCGTCAACGTGTTAAGGGGAAAATTTGTCAAAAAGTGCTGTTACTTTTTGGGTTTGCAACAGTTATCTTCACAGTTAGAATTGATTTCTGGAAGGAGTTTTCCGAATGCCATTGAACTATTAGGTGCATCAGTAATTTCTGCACACCCTTTGATTTGTACAGATACTGAAATCAAATTGCTGCCAGTAACGTACCTCTGTGACTATTGTTGAGGTCCTCCACCCGAACAGAGGCCACATTGGAGTGCTCATAGAAATCGTCTACCGTCTTCCACGATGCCATAGGTAATAATAGAATTTCAGTAGAGGTTTCTACATAAGCTGATTGATTAGAACATAAGGAAGCGTTGTAAGCGGAGCGAATCAATAGAGACAACTATTCTACCGGTTTTTGGACAAGTTGATCACCGCGATCACTAGGGCAGTGGTAAAAACATTGCATTATCAACAACAAACTGGAAAAGAACTGACAGTTATACTTAGAGGTCAAAAGCGGCAACGTACCAGATTAGCTGAAGCAGTAAAATACTGTAACATCCCTTCTAATGCATCACATATCCGACACCTTTTCAGTAATAGATTAAATAGAATTTAGTGAAGTAGTTCCAGTAAAACTTAAATTTCTGCGGTGAGTACTTGTTATGATCAAAAAACATCTACAAGATGAAAAATGAAAAATGCTACAATGTAGATAAAGTTTTCGAGCATCAGTCAGTCCCTTTCTGGGACGCGCCTTTGTGTTCATTCACAAATTGTGAATGGGGATTGCGAAACAACGAATTTCAACATCCAGTCGACGTGAATGCTAGTGTTTTTGTACTCTCAAAAGAGTCTGGTACCAAATAATTGATATCGAGGAGATGGAAGACGTTGGTGGTCTGGATGGGAGCCGATCCCCAACCTCACTTTTTGGCTAAGCGCGCGGTTAGCGGGGGCCACTTGCTATACGCACTTGCCATGTCCATTAACCTATACTGGCTTAAAAATTTAATAAATCGGTTCATTTACTTATTAATGTCACTATACGAGGCGATGCGGGCAGCAACTGATCGGTATAGAAACCAATTTTGGTGGAGAAACTGATATTTACTCCATTCATTTCCGGTTTTTCATTCCTATGTTAGAAACGAGATGAATTCAATTGGAAGTGTTGTGTTTTTATTGTGAAGAAAAAAAAACGCAAGGTTTTACCTAAATGAACCCGAAATTTGAGAGCTTTCAAGAATGAGTTCTGTGGTACGAAAGAAAATTGGGGCAAAATGTAGCATACGGTGGGAAGTGACGGTGGGGAACAAGAATCATAACCCTAGCATTAGGGGCGTGATTTGAAAGGATGATGGAATGTCGTTTGTAAGTGAAGATCTGTTCCGTGCCCGATGACGGCAACGGCGATCCCTTTTCTGCTTGGCTATAACCCCACGTCACTTCGTTCTTTTACTGTTCTTTTGGCGTCATCAACTTTGAAGGAGCATTCAAAGACTCCTCATGCAAGATTGGGTTTACCATCGCTTGACTATAACTTCAGCACTGTTCCCACTTACTCTTCAGAATTTCGGACAGATTTTGATCGGACTCTCTCATTGGTAGATTCGGCAAAAGTTTTACCCGTGGTAGTCTCGCTCCCTGAACACGAATATCGCGCCCGCGTAGCACAATACCACCTGGCGCCAGCGCCACAGGCGCCGGGGAGAAAACACCGCAAAACATATTGTTTGTTGAAAACTTTTCTCCAGTGCTATTTTCACCCCTGTATGTCACACTTATATTGAAAATGCCAAATTTGCGCTGTGTGCGCAAACGCTAAAACTATGTGTGGCGCAGTACTCCTTGCTCGGACATCAGGCTTTTTCTTATCAAGCAGACATGAAAATCGTGTTTAGGGGGTCGAGCTGGTTTTAAGGAGGAAGTTTGGCCTAATCTACTTCAGAAGAGAAATTCTCCCGGTCAGGGTGAATCAGATTTTCGTAGTCGGAATAATGAAGTGCCGGAGTTTTAGTCCGAGTTTTATCACTATTCCGACATATACAAGCAGAGGATCCACGTATATTTACATGAAATAGAGTTTAGAACATTTATAATGAAATTTCATAAAATACTATAGGTATAATTAATACAAGGACAATAATGTAGTATTATATTCCGAATTTACTACATGCTCTGCAGGATGTGAGAAGAACCGATCACTGAGAAATACCAATTATAAAAAAGGTAAGAAAAGGGGTAATATCTTCCCATTCTTCTTGGAACTGTACTTGTCCTCTTCGACGAATCCTCTTGGATGCGGCACGCATTCTACTTCCATTCAGAATCGTAGTGGCTTATTGAATGCGATGTGGCCTATACAATGACTTGCGGGGGCCAGCCGATGTACAAGTCAGTGTTTTATCCTCCCAGACAAATCTGGTACCAATTTACCGTCCCAGGAGGGTAGAAGGCTACGCGTCATTTGTCACTGCACCACCTCCGCCTCAATAAAAAATAGAGAAATAAAAATCAAATAGAAGGTACATTGAAATAAAACAGCACTGCTACCTAACACAACACGATTAGTGAAATTACGACTTCGTGGATGAGGAGAAAGTGTTTATTAGACAAAGCCCAGAAATGGCTTGCTACAAGAGCGACTGAAATGCAAACAAGTACAGTTCTTTCTTACTATCCGCAAAAGAGGGTAGATCGTCTTCATATACGAGGGGAGGCCGCAATGAAATCATAAGATCAATGGTTGTCGCGTTCTCTACAACTGTACCAATGTATCAATAGACTTTTATGTCTTCGCTCTTATGTTCGTTTGAACTACGGCAGGCCCTAACTGAGCCAAGTACATTTTTTACAACGGTCCGACCATTGATTTTTTAGAATGTACCTAAAAGTGAATCCATGTTCAAAACATTAACTTAGAAACAACAAAATTTTCTGAAAGTCGTAAGTTGGTAAGAGTGCCCTAACGATGTTGTTGATCATTCCTCCTCAAATTTGGCCTACAACGGAAGTCATTTAGCAATATAAGCACCACTGTCGCTCACATTAATGCTAAATCCAATAGGAGGGTCAGCGATCCCCTTCTCCCGGATCAAGAAATAGAGTGAGTGAAGTTCGATAATGGATTAATGGGATGTCCGACAGGCATGAGTCATTGTCCATTTAACCATACCCACACCCTACGCTACCGCTTGCATAATCAACGAAATACAATATGAACTAAACCAACAACTCTATTAACTATTTTAATTTATTTTAACAACCATTTAATTTATTTTAACAACCTATTTCGTCAAGGTTGGCCACTTACATTTCAACTATGACACTGTATGATGTAATTTCAACTTCGCCATAGCGTTCTTCACGAGCGCATCTATTTCCTCATCATTACCCGTTTTCCAGGGGTTTGGGACTTGCTCATCTCATATCTAGACGAATCTTCCGGACGCTCTCCAAATGATATAAATGGACAAGCGGGCTCAATTGCCATCCTAGTGATAACGAGTCTGTGTGGCTGCGGCCACAATAGACAGCCTAGTCGTATAATTGATTGAGATGCTACGGGTCATGATCTGTTTTCTCATCTCACTCCGTGTGTGGTATACAACAATACACTAAGATTTATATACAGCACAATTTCTACAATGTACAAATGACTACTAAATACTTCAAATATTATTATTATTGTTACTATATTAATTATATCACTGCTATTATGACTTATAAACAATTATTCAAATATTATAATTATTGTTACTATTACTGCCTAAGAAACAGCACACAAAAAACTTCACTTTCATTCAACTATGTTTCTTCCCCCTTGCTCTACAACCTTCTCCATCTTTTTCCTGATCCCAGCAACGTATTTTCGCACATTTTTCTGGGGTTAGCGTCTTCCAGTACCGGGCGATCGCTACTTTGAGGTCGTCCAAGTTGCGCACTCCTTGCTTCCTGTGATTTGTAGCAACACAGAGTATTTCGTTATGATCAGAACTATCAAATACCTGATATAGACTTTCATGTGCCCCCAAACTAACTCAATCGGGTTGAGGTCAGGTGACTCTGGAGGCCACGCCACTGTTCTCGACCTCCCAATCTTCTAGCTTATTTCTCGTATAACGGCTTTTGTGGGGTGGTGCATTGTCTTGCACGAGACGGCAAAATCCTAGAGTGAAAAACTTCAGAAATGAAAAGCTACAATTGATTTGACAACAAAACAAACCGCTGTACAATTTAGATTTGGAAGGGAGGTAAAATCTCTCTAGAATTCTGCAGTACAGCTCGCTATCAATCCGGCAATTTCCCGGAAGAATAGCGAATTGGGTGGTTCCTCTCACAGAAATACCACCCCAAATATGGACTTTCGCCGGATGCTTGGCTCGGTTACGCATCCTCGAGTACTGGTCACCTTGTTTTATGCAGCAAAACTTGGTTGAGCAGTCAACTGAAAGTGATTTTTCTTGAATCGAAATGTGAAACTCAGTTCCTGAAAGAGCACTCCTACTTTGAACTGTGCACTCGTCCGTGAAGACACAGTCAGTGAAACAAGCTCCTACAGCAAGCATCTCCGAGCAGAAGTCTAGACGAGCCACTTTATTGACATCCCTTATAGTGTGGCAGTACTATGTGGTGGTTCTTTGTATCCAACTTTCTGCCGGAGCCTCTTGATGTGTGTAAGGCTGACAGTGATGCCGCGTGTCTTCAGGCGTTTCACAACGTCTTGTGCTGTTGCAGAACTATTGTTCTGATAGCACCTCTCAATTTCACGGAGTATTTCGTCGTTGTGGACTGAAACATGTATTCCTACTTAATGATAGAGAGAAGCTGAGAATTTTTCACTAACCACGGAGGGCACGCGGTACGTATGACTTCTTCGAAGAAGTCGTGCCCTCAAATTTCATTATGAAGCGCCTGACAGCCTGATAATACAAAGACGGTTCGGTCTAAAAACATTCGATAACGAAGTCCTCAAGTGATTTTGGCAACATATGCTCAACTAAACGTCCAAACTCAACTTCTGCAATTCCGTAGTCACTACAGCAATTGATTTCCCCTGCTGCCTCAATTCCACAATAGTGCTAATCTGGTTGAAAAGTTTCTCACTCATCTGCAATGTAAGCTAGGCAGTATAATAAGAGCACGAGGATAGGTGATGAGGAGGTGTTGCTAAGGAGAGGGTAGGTTAATGAGAAGTGGATGCTTAAACGCAGACATTCACGATAAAATAAGGCTATGCCTCTCAATTGTGTCGACGATCCGAAGGCGATCTATGAAGGCCGGTGCTGGACGTTTCAAAATGTGAAAAACGGCAAGAACTCCGCTAGAAGCTGACTAATTAGGCCCATGGACACCCCTTAGGCCCATGCCGACCCTCACCGGCTGCTAGCTACTAGCTAGTAGCCACTATGTTATCTTTCTCTATAACATTTCGGACTGCTTTTTCTGCTGCTTTTCTCCGCTAATCAGATACTTAGCACTTTTTTGTGCCTATTTGAGTTCCGTTTCCCGCAATTTGCGGTCGCGGACTTGCGCTTTAAGAGAGGATAAGTGATAACGAGGTGTTGGTGCTAAGGAAAGGATGAGTGTTAATGAGGTGCGGATGCCAAAGGGAGGATAGCATAGGATGCCGAGTAGGGCGGAACCTCTTTGCGGCCCATCATTTACACTCGTGCCCTCCTTCGATACCCCAGGCATTACTCGAGGATAAGTTGCTAGATGAGCGCAAAGCATGGATGTTCGATCTCCAATGACCTGATAATTATGCAATCAAAAGCGAGTGATATAAAAACTCCACTTTGTCAGTCTCTGGAGGTTCATCAGTCAGCAGAATGTCCTTCGCTCTAATTTTCTTCCCGCACACACGAACAAGCGATGTGGTGCCGATTTCGTCGATTCCTCACGGCACGAAGACTGGTGATACCACCAAGGTCCGCTGGGAAGGGAGGTCCTACAAAGGGAAGGTACTGTTTACTACAAATTTGAGCCTGTTTTTGTCATCCTTTCAAAAGTGTGACTTCTATCCTCACTTTAGGTGCTCTTTGTGGGACCAAAGGAATTGTGTGAAATGAAGACGTCCTCGGTCAGTACTGATGGTGAGCTGGTCGAGGACGTCTTCGATGTGTCCTGCGCTCTTGCGGACCAGGTTTCGGCATCCCAAACAGACACTGCTGGAGAACGGTCAAGCGCTAGGGAAAGGGAGGAAATGATGAGGTCCATAAGGATGGAAGAAGATATATCGCTCATAAAGAACATGCTAATCCAGATGTAAGAGAATTTTCTTGTGGGCTTTTGCAGACTTTCCGCTGCGTACTTTTTACGATTAATTCTATTTAAGAAACGCAACTCTCGCGGCGCACTCTCAAAGAATGGATATTCTGGAGCAAATTGGTAGGGAATTATTGAAAGGAATCCCCCTAAGCAAATTCAAGGTGCGCTCTAAACCCTGACCTTTCCAGAAGTTTATGATATTTTCTTAGCATAGGCTCTTAGCCTTTCATCTTCTTTTGTACTTCATAGAGGGTACTCTTTAGGCAACATCGTTTATGCCTACGCCAGCCCGAAGACAGTCGCCGAATTGAGGGAGCTAAAGGGGCAGAATAAAAACCAATTTGTTCTGGCTTTGGAGAAAATAGTCTATAAGGACGATCCTAACAGAATTGGAGCGGCTTGTGGATGAGCGCGTTGCGACAAAAGACAGGGTTGTTTTCATCCAGCAGGTGATTCTGTCTCTTTAGTGCGATCATTGTTTTACGTTCGATCAACTGGATGACTGCACTGCAATCCTGTTAGTAATCCACGAGGATTCTCCTTTTTAGTGTTTGTGCAAATACTATGACATCCCCGAAAACGCTCGCGAAGATGTATGGAGGAAAGCGAAAGACGCTCTCAACAGCCGCGTGCGACGTCTCCGGAAAGCTATGAGGGACGGGCAAACCAGCGCGCAAAATGTTGACCAAGGGGACGAGTTCTCTCGTTTGGATTTATATGATTAACACCGTGCCAAGTAATAACAACAGTATTTGAATAATTATTTAAGTAATAGCTGCAATAATAATGATAATATTTGAGTAATTATTAATTAATAAGTATTAATAGCAATGATAACAACTAATATAGTGACAGTAATAAGGGTTTAATAATAATCATAATAATAATAGTATAATTGAGATATTTTATTCGTAGTTATATGTACATTGTAGAAATTGTACTGTATATAATAGCAATGATAATATTTAAGCGAGTAGATGTACGCTGTAGGAATTGTACTGTATACAAAACTTATCCATTGTTGTATATCACACGTGTAGTGGAATGAGGATCCCGATGAGAATGAGGATATCAATCAATAATGGAGTTTGCAATTCAGAGCACAAAAATTTTGAAATTTCGATTAAAATTCAAATTTGAAATAAGAGAAGCATTTTCTAGAGCGGCAGTAGTCATGGATTTTCTGCGAAATAATGAACAGAAGATATCACGTTTGTGGATGAAATTACTAAGACTGATCAACACAATGCCTTGACACCTCGGTGGGATAACTACTTAGGAGGTCGATTGGCCGCTGACAGGGCAGATAGCCAGGGAAATCTGCAAAAAGTCATAGAGGTGTTAGATAAGGTGATTTTTATATGAATA